GCATGATAAAAACGACCAGTTACAACTGGATAAAAAACAAAGTTTTTTAATAAGCTGTAAAACAGTTATATTTTTTTTTATATTCGTTATTAACCTACTATATCCTGTTTTAAAATACTCCGTTTACTCTGCTTATCCCTATGGACAAAAAACTTTATTTGTACATGTGTCATAGAATTTTTATTGAGAAATAATACATAATTGGTAAATGGTTGACTGTCGTGGATAATGAAGAGAAGAATAGTTGATGTGGTCAGCCAAAAAGAAGGCAAAAATAAATGATAATATTTATTTTTACATATGCCGACGTTTCGACCTTAAATTCAGGCCTTCATCAGGGCTAAGAAAATAACCAGATAACAAGGTATGAGAAACATAAGCAGTGATGGTAAAATAAAATATAAAATTAATAGATACAAAGTGAAATGAAATTGTTAGAATAATGACTAAGAACTAAGAGATAAATAATAATAACCGTTACAAAGTGTGGAATGATGAAGTAGGCATAATCAAAAAGGGTGACATAAGTGTTACAATGGGAATCTTAGAATAAAATGAGAAATAATACATTTTGCCTCATCCATAACATTTATATAACAAAAAAAAATTAAAAGAAAAGGAAAATTAATTAATAATTAATAAAACAAAAGAAATGTAACTTCAGACCATATTAAATAAAAATATAAGAACACATTCATGCTTATTTAGAATATTCAGTCAGCCGACGGAGTTTCGAGTCCTGGCTCTTTCCACCACCTGTGTAGGATAAGCCAAGACTCTTAGAGATCCCAGCGTTTCTCTCTTATCCGGGTCACTACCTCGATATTAGTAACAGAAGGCATATATAACTCTTTTGCCATTTTAATGTAAGACTACTCACATATAGTTCTTGGAAAACTTCTTCAAAATCGATAGCTGTATATATATATATTTTTTTTTTTTTTGGCATTAAAGACCTTGTTGATCTTTCACAGCCTAATCCTTCACCATCTCTGCCTATTTCGGGCTATTTCTTTTCAATTATCTACTTGTAATCATTCTGCATCTTTGTTGATTCGATCTATCCATCTGCTTTTTGGCCTTATACAATTTTGATTTCTGTCGTGGCAATCATTGTTGTGTAGCGTTCGTTAGATTGATTGCTCCGTGCTACATGCCCCGCCCATCTCAACCTCCTTATTATAGTTGTATATATGAATCCTGAATAATTAATAACCTTCAGAAAAAAAAGTATATGTATATTTATTTTTTATTCTAGAGCTGAGCCTACTTTCTTATACCTGTTCGTTTCTTCTGCCTGTCTCCCATATCTCACTACTGATCACCCTCTCTGATTGCTATATATATTACTGTAATATCCTAGGGTACCAACTTCTTATAAAGGATGATGAAGGAGTCTTATCTTGCCATAGGGCATTCAGGATCGTGACCTCTGGAGGTATATCCTCAGGCGAAGTAGTTAATGGATCTTTGGAGGCGGTTAGCTGGAGTTTCTTCAGGTACCTGGAGAAGAAACCTTTAACAAAAAAAAAAAAAAAAAAAATATATATATATATATATATATATATATATATATATCGAAAAAAAAATATATAGATAAAATAAATCTGTATTTTGTTTAGAACAATGACAGGGGTCTGATGGGCTATTTTACAAGTTACACATTATTAATATAACAATTATATTAAGAGAAATGTACCGGTAGCAGTTAAATAAATACTATATATTAAAATAATATTTTATTGGTTACGATGACATTTCGACCTACTTTGTAGGTCTTCATCAGAGCTACAAAAGATATAAAATATAAAGGGTATACAGTAATGATAAATTAAATGAATATTATTTAATATCTATTATTATTAATATCTAATATCTATTGATTATTTGATGTTTTTATATTATTTTATACCTGTGTCTTATTTAATATCTACAAATATTCATGTAATTTATTTTTACTGTATACCTTTTATATTCTGTATCTTCGTACGTCAGCGTAAACGTCAGCGCACCCCCGAGCAATTCCTCATATTAATTGTTTAGATTTAGTTCAAATGGAGGATATTTGCATTAGGTTTAATTGAAAGCAAACTTAGTCTTTTTATAGGTTTTTTTTCCGCACCGTCAATTAGTTAATTATTCATGAAAAACGTTGAAAAGATAATGATTACTTATATTGCACCATTAATAGACAGAGTTAGGTTTTCAATGCAATTTTAGGCGTTTTAAACTAAAAAATTGCAAGTTATATATGAATGAATGGAAGTTTCAAGCTTATCGATAGTACCGCGGCCTAAGAGGTCATTCTCAGGTGTTTTTAAGTTTCACACATAATGAATCAGATTAGTGTTAATGCTGTAAGATATACGTTTAAAATAAGCGATTATTATATAATATTAACGAAACGTAGTTTATGATTAATAATAATGACAGGCACCTATTTCACCTACAAGTGAAAATGAAATTTTCGGATTGAACCATAATAATAAACTTTTGCTAGTCATATGTGGGTTGATCACACAATGCCTAAGCTGAGAGATTTATTCTCTTTAAATAAGATGATACCCTCATTGTATTATTCAGCAGGCTAGGAAGGAAAAAGAAAGAAGTAATGAAGAATGGCTTCATAAAATAATAACCTGCAAGTGGATTAAGGACGTTCTTAATGGACCAAGACATCTGAAATAGATCAAGGGGCTGGAATAATGAGAGACATTCCATCCCACAGAAGGCTATCCAATAATTGCCCTGATATATGGCGATATGGAGAAGATTACTCATTACGGTGGATAGAACCGTCACTGGGTTTATGATTGATTCCTCAGGAGTACTTCCTCAGCAACAGGAGCTTCCAGGAGTGGATGGACCTCCATTAGCAAAGAGCTGGCGGAGGCTAGTCATCTTGTAACCAGAGTCTTGTTTCTCCGACTTCCCACACGCTAATGCACTCTCACGAAGGACTTCTTCGCTAAGAGGTCTTCGGCGGTATTATTGGTAGTCGAGTCATCGCGGAGCGGTAGCAAAGAAAGGCACTCTCAGGAGGTGGCGCGATTCGCGGTGGAGCTTTTTAAAAGCTAAAGCGCAATTATTTCTTAAAGCATATTTTCTTAAACACTGCTAGGTAAAAGTGTGGATAGGATATGAGTTACTTTCGTCTGCCATTAATAATCTAAGATTAACAAATGTTAACATTATACATGACTATGCATATATGTGCTGGTTTTTGTGAATGAGATTTATTTCCTGACAAAGTGTGTAATTGTCTAAAAATAAGTCAACTATCAGGTCATCGGATAATAATAACTAAGCTGACGTTCTGTTCCAATCCTTAATATTCCAAAATGCCTTCGATTCCTGATATTCATTCATTTCACTTCTAGAATATAAAATTTATACTTTACCTGTTTCTTCATCAAATATATTTTCCTTTGCACATCCTTTTGAAAAACTCCATCCTTATACTCCTATATATACTTATACCTATCTACACCTATTCACTAAAAGATCCAGGATTTAATTTTGAGGATGCTTCAGTCCGAATTTTTTTTTTTTTTGCCTCTTCCCTGTCAACTTTCAAATACCTCCTTTTCCAATATCTCCTTACATCTCAAACAGAAGATTTACAACATAAATTTCATTTTATGAACTGAATTTGCGTGGAGTAAATGGTGGTGCGTACTGTTTAAGTTTTAACATAAAACAGCAATGATCTTTGTCACCTAGTTTGACTATTATTATTTTTTCTCTTCTCCCCAGGTTGTGCTTTTTCTTTCGGGTATATATGTTTATATGTTATACTTTTTGTCTCTCTGTGTACCAATATAAGTATGTACGTATAAATAGTTCCTTATTATATAAATCACTGTAAATATTATTACATTTTGTATTAAATTAGTTTTCTATTAGATAGCCTATTGTTTATAAATTGTGTAGTTATGTATATATATGAATATGTAGTTTCTTTTCATCACAATAAAAAGTAATTTTGAGAAGATTTTATGTTCATTTATATATATATTTTTTGTTTATTTTTTAGTGGTTACATACTTTTTAAATAATGTTAATATAATATTAGCATTGTATTTTACTTTGTATCAATTCATCATTGTTATTCTAAGGGGACTTAGTCCCAGAATAAAGTTTAATTTTCCATTCTATTCTAAATATATTAGGATAGTTACTTCGGAAGAAAGAAAGAAATTAAATATCTATATGAAATGGTCCTTAAGTGATTCTGGAAGTCCTATTAGCTGTAATTAGACGAACAATAATACTTTTAGAAATAATTTTTTCATGAAATATGGTTATATTTAAAATGTTTAAAACCCTCTTATTCCAATTCCTCCTTACAATTCAATCAGACGCTGGGTAGCCATTTATCATGTATATTATATATGTATGTAATCTCCTCTATATGTATTATTATCTTTATTCTTTCTCCGATCAATCAACATCTTAGGATTTAGATTATATAGGACTTGTATAATGTTTAAATACTATTATTGTATTCTTTGAACATATTAAATTACATATGTAATTATTATTTTTTCTTGCTGTATTGGGACCTTACTGCTCATATTATGTCTTTAATATATCAGTATAGTTATGTAAATCCTTCTGTTATTATTTTTTTTTTTTTTTTGGTTTTTTTTTTTTATTGTAATATGCATTTTGGCCAGATGTTATGTTAATTTTTATGTTCAATATTGTTATTCTCAAGGGACTTTGTCCCAGAATAAAATTGATTCTTCTATTTTTCTATATTTTACCATTTTTGGGGGGAATGGAGAGGGAGAGGTTAAGCCCGAAAGCCCTCCCTTAGATTCGTCTGTGCACTTTATTCTCAGTTCTTCTATTTCTGTTGTATCATATTTTTCTTCAATTTATTATTTTTTCCTCCTGACCATTTTTGCATGTCCAGGCACGGCTGTTAAAAAACTATTATTATTTATATTATTCTATCACTATATTACTTCTGGATGTATTAACTAATGGTTACCTACCTGTTTCAGCTGTACCAGTATGTACGTGGGGGAGTACTGCCAACACTTGAACCCCTGCCACACCGGACCCGGCCCGCGATGCCAGAACGGAGGTACGTGCAACGTGCGCGCATCGCACACCCACGGTCCTCCTTCTTTCTGGTGCTCCTGTCCCATCGGGTTCTCCGCATCCCTCTGCGAGATACCCATCGCCAACTCCTGTGACTCCGGGCCGTGCCTCAATGGTGGTACCTGTTCTCTCCAGACCTTAGAGAAGTACAGCTGTTCCTGCGCTGCTGGTCATACGGGTAAGTGAAGTTTTTATTATCATTATAGTTTATCATTGCATATACAGGTAGTCTACAAACAGGAAAAAAGAAGTAAATTAATGGAATTTTTTATTTAAAAAAAAAATAAGGAATTATCGTCCAACACTTCAAAAAATGGAATCCTCTGCTAATTTATTGGTGATAAAACGTGTCCCTTACATTCAGGACATTAACAATCACATCGTAGTTAAGGTATATCACTGGTACAACAGTCCCAGAATAATAAAATTATTTTTCATTCATTCATAACTGTTAAATTTGAAATAAAAGTTAAAATATCGTCTCAATTAGGTACCCTCAAGTCCTATTAAAGAGAGAAATTAGAAAAATCTTCAAGAAATAATTTCCCCCCCCCCCTTTTTTTAAATTAAAGGCCTCAACCACAAGGGTCCATTATTTCAGAAAAGAAAATAGTTTGTAAATTTCATTCGTTTAACAGTCAGGCACATTTTGACCGAGTGTAATGCATATGAAACACAACGGATTGAAGTTAAATTGGAGAATGACATTTTGAAAAATACCACCAAATTGGGAAAAAAACTGTTTAAATTTCTACAAATAACGTACCTATACCACAAAATTTAAATTTTGCTGACTCTTTTTTTTTTCTTTTGGTTTAAATATTTTGTGTTTTCAATTCATTGTTAAATTTAATTTAATTTGATGTAACATAAATATTTTGTAAGGGCTAAAATGACCCGTAAAAGGTTGAGGAGGCCCTTCCATTGTTATGAAATAAAAATAAAAAATTTCATTCTTATTGTCCTATAAAATTAAGTGTAGATCGTTTGTCAATTAACATGATAGTCTAAGTGTTTCGTAAGCTCTGCATTCTGTTAAAATGTGTTTTACTGTCAGAGTAGTCCCACAGATTTGGCATGTTGGCGAAGAATCACTGGCCATCAGGTATCCATAAGTAAGGCGTGCAAGACCTATACGCAGGCTTGCAAGAATTACTTCCTCTCTGTGCTTATTCCTATTTGACGATGCCCAAGAGGAGACGCACCCTTTATCTACCTCACTTTATTTTTGGTTACATTCGACCATATCTGTTCCCTAAGAAATGATCTAAATTAACCAATTTGAATAAATTATATTATTTATTGAATAAATAAATGGGGCAGACTAAAAATGCCCCAATTTCGAGACTTTTTGTAAATAAAATATTTTTAGGTTACGATGAGATGAAGCTATTTACGAAATTTCTGACGTATGTTAATTATTTGATGAAAAGGGGTCTATACCACGGACTAATACTTGTAAGAAGGAATATGTTAGAACACCTAGAGTACTTAAGGTAATTAGGGTTTGGAAAACTAGAAAAAAACAAATTTGAAGAGGCTAAAGTTGAAGTCAGGATTGCGTTTTAGTTGTCTGTTTCAAAAATACTTAGCTCTTGCCTTCTATCCTGAAACTTAGTAATTAAAATTTACAAAATCATTAATACCACATCTTTCCTACGGTTCTTCATGGACGTGAAAGTAGGCCGCCAACATTAAGAGATGAGCAACGTTTTTGAGTATTCGAAAATAAAATATTAAGTAGAATATTTGGACCGAAAAGAAATTTAGACGGTTGCGCAAATTTGTTTTCATGTTGTCTAGCACGAATTAAATTACGTGGACTGTACTCGGTAAATAACAATGTGGCAAATATAACGAAAGAATCCCTAAATGTGCGCTGTGCCGACATGCAAGCGTCCCAGAGGTAGGCCAAAGCGGTGGTGGGGAATTGCGTTGAGGGTTTGCACTGCGCCCTGAGGATGGTAATCTGTATACAGTGATTAGAGGTTTCCCTATATTGGCTAACATTTAATTCATATTTTTCATAAATAAATATGAAAAAATGTATGATACATATTTTACAGCATTTATGAAGCAATGAAAAATAAATGACACAGTCTATAGTGAAGAACGGGCGTGTTGAAATTAAATAAGGTAGATTAATGTAAATTTGTGCAAATTAAAACCACTAGCCTTTTAAGAAGATTAATGGACCAGTTCAACGATTGCATGCAATGAACAATTAGAAAGTCCATCTGTCTAGATGCAAAAACGATCCTGGATTAATAACTATTCAGTTACTTAAAAGTATGGGCTTTTTTCTTTAGTTACAATAAAGAAAAATAATCTGCCAAGCACTTACGCATAGCTTCCTCACCATTTTTATCGGGCGAATAAAAAAATGGTGGATAGAATCGGATAAAATTGATACTGGATTATTTTTTTAGAATTCTTAACTTCACTTCCACAGTGAGCCTTAATCGAACGAGCCATGTTGACCTTTGAAATGGGCTATGATAATTTTAATTTGTTTTATTTATTTTTAATAATCTGGGAGCTAGCTTTAGAGGAAACTTTTTATCTTTTTTGGCTTATGCCGCCGTAATTATTATAGTTATTAACTTCTCCGTTTGACGTTTAGAATCTCTAGAGTGTACTTTTTCTATTTAACACTTTAAAATTGAAAAAATATTGAGTTATGCATATATAAGCTCCATTAAAAAACAGCACTAGTAAATGGACACAACAAAATTCGATTGTTCTAGTAATGGTCAGGAGGTCGGTACCAATAATAGACATATCACAGAAAAATATAAAATAGTTATTTAATTATAAAAGTAAGATAAGATAAATGTTCAACCTACTGTTAGCAAAGCTGTTAGTAGGAAGGTATGAAACACACTGATCAAGAACACGATAGAAACAACAATGATTTAAAAATTTTCTTTTGGTAACTTTAATTATACACTTGTCGATAGAGGGCATCGTACTTCAATCTAGAAACAACTGGAACCTTTAAATCAAAAAAGAAGTTTATTATCTACATTTAAAGTCTAGCCTGTCCATCACTGGTGCGTTCACGCTATTGGTTATAAGTAACTTGAAGTTTGTTTAGAGATCTGAAAGGTTCCTAAGAGTCCCAACTATCATTTCACTGAACCATAGCTAGTTATGTCTTCAAATTATATTATACAATCGTTGTATAATATAAATAAATATAGTGATGAATATTGATAAATTCTTCACGTACATGCGAAATAACAGTGTGCTGGAAACCCTAATGATGCAAATAAATAATGAGTAAAGCTTCATCTAACTGTCAGACGAAGCTAATATATTGGAAAGTTAGGAAGACAATAAGACCATATACCGTTACCATTCTTGAAAGAAACTATCCATCGATGGAAGACAGACTGGTATTCTAAGGACGAAGACAGACATAGAATACCGAAAGTGGAACTGGGACATTAATGCAGACTGATGAGGCGAACCTCACGACCCTCTTCTGATGATACGTCGTGCGGGGAGCGGAGGACACGACGGCGGCATACATAATCCAGGCCATCAAAGAGACCAATATCGGCAGAGATTGTGTCCTTGGAGAGTAGTTGGATCGGTGACCAACAATCAAGTCTTAGATTAATTAATCTTCAAAATAAATTAATTTTTTTAAATAAAATACTCAGATCATTAGATAATCCTTAGAACTTTTATTCTCATAGAGATGAGTAAGCTGTCGACTGACCAATTATAAGAATAAAACAAAAAATATCAGGAATTTCAATTTAAGAATACCAATGCAAAATGAATTTATCCTAAACTACGATCGATGTAAACATTAGAAACCTCGGTAATAGATTGGCCTGATATCTGTATTAGTAATTTAACATTACAAAATAAAGTTTCCTTTTTTAAAATGAACCATAAAAGATATAAAAGTAAGATAGAGGTAAAAATGTGCGAAACGTGATGTGAGAGGAGTAATCTGGAGCTCAAAGCAAACAACAGCTGTTTCATGGACGGTGTGGCGGATCTAGATGGCACTCAGCGGAACTAATATCCGAAACGCTGTAATCGTTTACTCCAGCAAGCGGACGCTCACTGCACGGTTGGCTACGCCATTATTAGTGAAATAACCATATATCATATACATTTTACACTTCTATATAATATAATGAAAAGTAATTTAATTATTTATTTTTTTAATAAATTTACTAATAACTTTTTCCCGAAGATAGGTTACTTACAACAGAAAAACTGGTCCTCCCGGTCGGATTAAAGCCATTTTTCTTTTAAGTTAGAATTAGTTTGATATTTGCAAAAGATGATTACAAACAAATCAAAGCGTTTGATTTTAATAATATTTGCTTATTATTCTCTTCGGGAGGTAGGTAAATCGCCCATAGAATTTAAATAAATATATAAATGGTCCTCCGGGCCGGATTTTTAACAGTTTCTACTCAAAAAAATAATTGGTTTATTATTAGTGGTTGATGAAAACAAAAAATGAAACAAATGGATTATCAATATTCGTAAGTGTTTTAGCTATAAAAAAAATCGTAATTATATTTGGGCTCGAACTAACATCCAGAACGAAACGGGCTTCATTGTACCACAGATACATCATATAATACATAATTTGATATTCATTATATCGGTTAAATCTTTATAACTAACTATAACTATGAATCATTATCAAATAAATCTTCTTTTGTACTATTAACTTGAAATAAACCAAAGCTGCAATCATAATGACCGTGATTTCACCACCAAAGAATTGGTAAAACTACAAATTATTGGGAATTATTATGCCGCTAGAGGCCGCTTAAGCGGCAACGAGGACTGATGACAGGCCGAAACTCCTCGCTTGATAAGTGGGGGCGCGACAGGAAGAAAATATCGACGCCAAACCTGTCTTTATAGCCATCATTAATCGGGCCTATCGACTAATACATCTATTGTGGATTTTTTCAACAACAGGTTTCGCCTGAGGAAGGGTAAAAGCTGATCAGATCACGGACACTTAAATGAGAGACGACTTAATCGATACACTGATACAAGAAATTTTAATATTCATAACCTTATTTTTTTTTATTTGGCATCTAAATTTATTTTTACTATGGGAGACTGGTTATGGTTATGACAATTTTCATTTAATCGTCCTCAATTTTGTTAGTATTCCAATTAGATAGAAGA